TTCCCCCAGCCTGTAGCGCTGCAGGGGGTTATTGTGGCCCAAGTGCAGGACCTTGCACTTGCCCTTGTTGAAACTCATCCCATTGGCATTGGCCCGGTGATCCAATCTCTCTAGATCCTCTTGCAAAGCTTCCCTATCCTAGTCCATCTGGCAACCATAACCTCTCCTGTGGGTTGTAAACAAGTTCGTTAAGTAGGTGGTTGTCTTCTTCTTCAGGTGGCTGCTTGGGGACACCGAGGTTCCGGGCAGCTGCAGGACCTAGTGCTCCACACCCTCCCTGGGCAGCCTCTTCCAGGGCTCTGCCACCCTTCACCGTGAAGAAATTTTTTGGGGGTATGGGGGTTGAAACCGGGGCAGCGAAGAGTAGGTGGTTGTCGTCTTCTTCTTCTTCTTCTTCAGGTGGCTGCTTGGGGACACCGAGGTTCCGGGCAGCCGCAGGACCTAGTGCTCCACACCCTCCCTGGGCAGCCTCTTCCAGGGCTCTGCCACCCTCACCGTGAAGAAGTTTTTTGGGGGTGTGGGGGTTGATACCGGGGCAGCGAAAGGACTCACCGTTCGCAGCCGAGCACCACCGGGCGGTCGGCGGTTCGCGGCGGCGAGGTGTGGATGGGGAAGAGCCCGGCCAGGCGGTAATCCCCGCGGCTGGTGAAGGCGGTAGCGGCGGCGCAGAGGCAGAACAGGGCGGGCAGCGGCATGGCGGGGCGGTGCCGGGCGGCGGGCGGCGCCTTTTAACGGAGAAGGCGGCGCCAGGCCCGGGGACCGGCCCCCGGAGGAGGCGGAGGGTAGGCCGTAAGCCGCCATGCCCGCCCGGCGCGGCCCACCGTCCCGCCGCCCCCGTCGGGCCGCGTCCCGCGGGGGCCGGGCGGAGGCGGCAAAAAAAAAATAAAATAAAATAATGATAAAATTCAAGTGAGGTGGTACTTCTGTGGGAGCAGGCTCTCTGGGACAGCTCCCCATAAGCACTGTTGCATAAATACCGATTTTGCACCGTACTCTCAGCCCCTCCCCAAGCCCAGCACCCAGAAGATGAAGGCGGGCAATTTGCCACGAGCAATCACAGCCCTCTGACCAGAAGCCATCCCTTCTGATGTCCATCCGAGGGCATGCAGTGGTCCTGGCGTGCTTGCCCTCGTCGCGTGCCCGGGGGCCAGCCCGTGCCATCCCGGTCACGCTCAGTGCTTCAGCCTGGCTCACACCACCCCAAAAGCAGGAGTTTAGTCATAGAATCATAGAATCGTCTAGGTTGGAAGAGACCCTCGGAATCATCGAGTCCAACCATCTCCCCTACTCTACAAAGTCCTCCCCTACACCATGTCCCTCAGCACTGCATCGAAACGGCCCTTAAACACAGCCAGGGATGGGG